ACTGGAGAGGATGGAGTTAAGTCTGTATTATACCTGAGGCAGGGGGCTGCCATGGGGCTCCTGGAGAAGATCCTGCAGCATCTTTTCTCCCTCCCTGGCAGTGGAAAAGTTTCCTATGCTCTTCCTCCAGAGAGAGCTCTGCTGGGAACTCCCTTTCCTAGCAGCAGTTGCATGGGGTGGCAGAAAGTCTCAGAGTTCCTCTCGGAGCATGATGGGAGTTGAAGTTTCTCTTTCTCTTTTTTTTTCTCATCCAATAAAATGCCTGGTTGTATCTATGCTCTGATTGGCTGAGAATGGACACAACCGGCAACAAAACAGCATGCCTTTTGGCCAAACTGCACACCTCTAGTATATTGTATTATGCATTAAGAAAGAGACAAATGGATGCATTCTTAGTAGTGTAATTTCTAAATTGCATTTACATTGATGTTGTATTTTTATGTAAGGTTTTGTTCTTCTATTCCAATACTGCAATAGTGCTGAGCAGCACAGGCAGAAGAATCCTGCAATCACGTCCTGCACATGCATCTCCTTGGATACATGGAACTTTGTAGCTTGTGCATATGTACATGAACTTAATAGATAATTAGATGTTGTGTGTGTGTGTGTGTGTGTTTGTACTTCAATTTCAATTATGTCTGCAGTATTCAATTGTAGTTTACAGCACAGTGCCCAAATAGGTGTATGTTAACAGGTCTGGATGCTGCCTAAGGTATACTACATAGCACAGGGACCATCATCTTGATCTCTTGAAAGAAAAAGAATATGTATGGCATGCCATCCACTTTCATGGGAATGAGAGGTGCAGGGCCTCCATAAAATGGAAAAAATGCAAATTAAAAAAATAGCAACTGAATGGTAAATAAGCATATATGGAAGTGTCATTAATTCAGTTGGTCTGCTCAGGACTAGTAAGTGCATTAGGCCTTTTCATTAATTGCATTGGGAACTGTTATGTGTAAATGTAGATTATTATAAATTATAAATTTAAATAAAAAGAAAAACAAAAGAAGTGGAAAGAAAATTCCTGTACAACCAGACAAATTGCAGGATGCTTTCAAAAAATGTTGACCAGCATAGTCTTTCTACCCATTTAGCATCATATTTGATCAGGACAAGTCAATCCAGTAAAACTCTATCTATGAGAACCAGCATGGTGTAGTGATTTAAGTGTTGGACTAGAATAGGGATCCCCAACCTAAGGCTCATGGGCCAGATGTAAGCCTCCAAAGTCAGTTACCCAGCCTCTGCTCTAAATTTTACACTTAGGGGTGCCCTAAGTCTGAAACAACTTGAAGGCATACAACAACAACAGTCGTAATTAACTTGACTATCTCATCAGTCAAAAGCAGGTCTACACTTCCTACTGAAATACTGGTAAGTTTATGTTGGCTAACATTGCTCTTCATTTTAAATATTGTATTGTTCTTTCATGGAGGTTTTTTTGCTCTAAAAAAAGATATATGCAGTGTGCATAGGAAATCATACTTTTTTGTCAAACTATAACGCCCCCCCCCCAAAAAAAAAAGTCTGAGGGACAAGAACTGGCCCTCTGATTTAAACGTTTGAGGAGCCCTGGACTAGAATTCTGTGAGTCCAGAGTTCAAATCCCCATTTGGCTATGAAAACGCACAGGGTGATCTTTCACACTCAGAGGAAGCCAAAGGCAAGCCCTTTCTAAACAGATTCTGGCATCAGTATACAACCATCCATGAATTTAATATACAGTAGAGTCTCACTTATCCAACATAAACAGGCCAGCAGAATGTTGGATAAGCAAAATTGTTGGATAATAAGGAAGGATTAAGGAAAAGCCTATTAAACATCAAATTACGTTATGATTTTACAAATTAAGCACCAAAAATAATGTTTTACAACAAAACGACAGAAAAAAGTTCAATACACGGTAGTGTTATGCAGTAATTACTGTATTTACGAATTTAGAACCAAAACATCTGAATGTATTGAAACAACTGTGGATCCGGGCAGGAGGCAGACTGCGTGGATAATGCAGGATGTTGGATGTGCGAAGAATGGATAAGCGAGAGTCCCGTGTATTGAAATAATTCATAACTATGTTGCATATTTTTCTTCATTTTTATAAATACTTTGAAAAAAATATCCATGCATATAGTCATCTATAAATGCTGTCACACAGGTCATGTATAGTATTGAAAATTTACTGAGCTCAAAATGCACAAATGACAATTAAAATATTAAATTTGAATAGGAAATTAATAAAAGGCACTCAAATTGTGGTACACTGAAATTGCTGGTCAATAGTCACCACCTTTCTTGATAACATACGATTTCAAAACTATTACGCTGGAAATGAGTTGGGCTGTGGGTTTTGAAATGATCTGAAGTATGATCTCATAGCACAACCCCAAGTGCCTTTACTCAAAAATATCCCTGATATGTTCAATAGATGTTACTTCTTAATAGGTCAGTTTAACATTACAGCCTCAAATCATATCTGAGTATAAAAAATTATATTTCTATGATAATCTAAGGGGATAGAAAAATGCTGGGCTGTTATCCTCCTGTAATTCCTGGTTTTGCTGATGATTGTAAACTCCAAAGATACTGAACAGATCCCAGTGTTTGTATCAATATTATAATTAATTATATTATAAATAATTTTAGGCCAAATTGTACACGTATTTATTTATTTATTTATTTATTAACTGCATTTCTATACTGCTTTTCTCACCCCTGGGAGGGACTCAAAGCGGTTTACAACATAATAAATGGCAAATTCAATGCCTCCCATATATACAAAAATATCACATATCCAAATCAATAACATATAACTGTAGAAAATAACCATTAAAACTATAAAAACATCATGCATAGACATAAGCGTGAAACATATTGCTGCAATTAACAATGTATACCGCTTCTTCCCCCCCCCCCCAACTCTCTCTCCATAGCGTTTCAGCCCTTCTTTTTATACCTTCCCTGCTCCCCCATCCCACCAATCACAAAGTTATTTAGGTACAGATTGAATACAAAATGGGGAGGGTAAAAAAACATGTCCTGGGATTTCTTGAGGGATGGTAAATGTGATATGGGGTCCTTGGGGTGGGTGGAGGGAGAGTCTTATCTGCTAATGTTAGTAGGCTACTGATCAGTTTTGTAAAAGTCCAGAGGAACATAGATTTTATCAGTTGTGGTGTCATAAGTCAGGTGTGAGCTATCACTTGCCAGTAGACTGAGGATGGGGAGGGGCACTGAAGTGTCGCTGCCACCAAGGAGAGTTACCAGGGAACACATCCAGATATGGCTTACATCTGGATAGAAATGTATAAGATCGCTCTGTTACTCTTCTTGTATTAAACAGCTCTGTTTTTATTCCTGTTGGGAGTGTATCCATAGCCACATGCTTATAACTACAACCCTATGTGGCTGCGATTTAACAAGATTAGGTTAAATTAATTCAATTCCGCTTTCATGGACTACATCACACGCAATGGCATTTTTCTAATAGGAATGGTATCTGAGTTTATTTGCTTTTCTGATACAACAAGATTTTCTGATACATGTGCCACAACAGAGTAACACGGAGGCAAAAAAAAAAAAGATAAAGGGGATCCGATAGCATATTTAAGCCTGACTGGGAAAAAGGAAATTTTTAGCATAAGCTTCTATGAAATCTGGTCAACTTTGTGAAATGCACAGCTGATGGACTGGAGTCCATGAAGATTTATACTCTCAGGAGTAGTTTTTCGGGGACACAAGGGACTATAGTCTAGGAATGTGCAAACTTTGGCCCTCCAGGTGTTTTGAACTTCAACTCCCACCATTTCTAACAGCCTCAGGCACCTTCCTTTTCCCCCTCAGCCGCTTAAGCGACAGGAGCGCCTAGACCCGGCATGGGCAAGCTTGGGTCCTCCAGGTGTTTTGGACTTCAACTCCCACCATTCCTAACAGCCTAAGGCCCCTTCCTTTTCCCCTACAGCCGCTTAAGCGACAGGAGTGCCTAGACCAGGCATGGGCAAACTTGGGCCCTCCAGGTGTTTTGGACTTCAACTCCCACTATTCCTAACAGCCTCAGGCCCCTTCCTTTTCCCCCTCAGCTGGGAAAGGAAAGGGCCTGAGGCTGTTAGGAATCGTGGGAGTTGAAGTCCAAAACACCTGGAGGGCCAAAGTTTGCCCATGCCTGGACTATAGTGTGCAGCAAACATCATGTGACCTCTTTCACACTAGTGGACATCCGTCAACTATCACAGCGCATACACATTACATCAAAACATTGGCTTCTTAAGACAATTATTATTACAATTAGATTAGGAAATCTGTTCCCAAACACAAGGCACAAGATCCCGATGTCTCCTGAAGGATTGTGTCAAAATAAACCAGAATTGCAAAAGAGCACAAGGTTGTCACTTGGCTCCTTTAAAAATGTTCTCAGAGGGTCATGCCTTGTGTTCCAAGAATAAGCAGCTTCTCTTGTTATTGTCATCTCTGACCTACAGAGGTCTTGTTGGAACACCCTTTCCCCCAGAGCAATGCAGAAAAAATACACCCAGAAGCTGGTTTTGAATTGAGAATAATGACCTAGAATTCATTTTTTTTACTAATTAATGCCACATGTTTTCATCTCAGAACATATCTGGTATCAGTTTCAAATGAAGATTGTTTTAAAAATCTTGTTACCAAACTGACAAGATAGACAAAAATAAGTGTTTTAAATATTTTCAAGTTATTCATATTGTATAGATTTCTGCAGGAGATTGGCATCACTTCATGCCTTAAAGATGCATTTGTGGGCTCATTAGGTTCTACACTTTTTTTCATCTTTTTCCAGTACATATATATAACAGTGCCAAATGCTAGACAGCAGAGGGTTGAAGACTGTATTTGCAGAAATGATATCAAGTGATTGTTATACAACAATGCTACACTCTGGCAGCATATGGCAGTCATTTCAGCAAAGTGAAAAGAAAGAGTCAAGCCATTTCCATGTGCCCAGAAATTCCCCCAAGCTCCCTTCTTACCTTTCTATACACCAACATATTTGGGGATTCGTCAGCTACCCCGTTGCTGCTCTGTCCATAGTTATTTCCTTGTGCCATGTCTCAGGGGCTTCAGCTGATGGACAATCTTGAGCAGAGCAAGGTGCCTATGTTAAAAAAGAATGAAAGAGTTTATTAGGTTACAAAAGAGTTTATTATGTTGCAAATGAGGGTGATGCGTTATGCTATATCTGTTTATGTTTAATTCTGGGTTATTTTGTTGTTGTTTTATGATTTATATTAAGATTGTTTTGTCCACTGTTTTGATTTGTTATTTGTTGTTTTCAGCATTGAATGTTTGCCATTTTGTTACCTTCATTGGAAACTGCCCTGAGGCCCCTCGGGGACATTGGGTGGATTATAAATAAAGTTATTATTATTATTATTATTGGAGCCCCAGGTGGCACAGCAGATTAAACTACTGAGCTGCTGAACTTCCTGACCAAAAGGCCAGTGGTTCAAATCAGGGGAGCAGGGTGAGCTCCTGCTGTTAGCCCCAGCTTCTGCCAACCTAGCAGCTTGAAAACATGCTAATGTAAGTAAATCAATAGGTACCACTCTGACGGGAAGGTAATGCTGCTCCATGCAGTCATGCCAGCCACATAACCTTGGAGGTGTTTACAGACAACGCTGGCTCTTCAGCTTAGGAATGGATATGAGCACTACACCACAGAGTCAGACATGACTAGACTTAATGTCAAAAGGAACCCTTTACCTTATATTATTATTATTATTATTATTATTATTATTATTATTAAGAAGTCTCAGTAAAATATTTCTATCAGCCGTTTTACCGGAGACCAAGAGTTCTAGCTTCCTCCCAAAGTGCCACTTTCCCTCCTTTTCAAAAAAATCATAGAGTTCGAAGTGCCATCCAGTCCAACTTCATTCTGTCAATTAAAGCATTCCAGACAGATGGCCACCCAGTCTCTAATTTGAAACATTAATTAGGGTGACCAAATGAAGCCCCTGATAGCACAGTGGGTTAAAACACTGAGCTGCTGAAGTTGCTGACCAAAAAGGTTGGCAGTTCGAATCAGGGGAGCAGGGTGAGCTCCCGCTGAAAGCCTCAGGTTCTGCCAACCTAGTTGTTCAAAAACATGCAAATGTGAGCAGCTCAACAGGTACCACTCTGGCGGGAAGGTAATGGTGCTCCATGCAGTCATGCCAGCCACATGACCTAGGAGGTGTCTATGAACAACGCTGGCTCTTCAGCTTAAAAATGGAGATGAGCACCACCCTCACAGTTGGGCATGACTAGACGTAATATTAAGGGAAAACCTTTACCTTTACCTTAATGGGTGAAGGGAGCCAACATGGGTCTTTCCCTTTCAGTGCTCATTTTCATCTCCTTTCTCTCTCTGAATACAACTAGCATGAAGGTTGCTCAGTCCATGTAGAGTTGAAGTGAACTTCCACTGGAAAATCCCCATAACTATGCAAAGGCAAGTTTCTAACATAGGAAATTGTTCCCATCCTTGGAAGGAAAAAAATACTGTAAGATTATGAGTTCGGTTTCAATCAAGACTTCATGGAACCTCTATAAATTGTGTCTTTGGGACTTCATCTAGTTTCTAGAGAGCACCTCTGAGTCTTTAGGACTGGTGCCAGTGCTGTTGCCACAGATTCTTTGGGAGTCGATACCCAGGTGTCCCCTCAGAGAGGGCAGAGGGAGTACCTCTTGCCTAAAACCCAGTCCAAGCCCGGGTCCTCTCTGTGACAGACGGTTAGATGTTGTTTGTCCCTGTTGCCAGCAGCAGCAGCTCTTTGGGGAACCATTGCCCTTCCTCCCTGACCTTTTCTTCTGGCTACAAGAAAGGAGCCCATGGTGGTGCAATGGGTTAGACCAGCGGTCCTCAAACTAAGGCTTGGGGGCTGGATACTGCCCTCCAAGGTCATTTATCCGGCCCTCGCTCAGGGTCAACCTAAGACTGAAACAACATGAAAGCATACAACAGCAACAACAACAACAATCCTATCTCATCAGCCAAAACCAGGTCCACACTTTCCATTGAAATACTAATAAGTTTATATTTGTTAAAATTGTTCTTCATTTTAATTATTGTATTGTTGTAAAATGTTTTTTGCACTACAAATAAGATACGTAAAGTGTGCATAGGAATTCATTCTTCTTCTTTTTTTCAAATTATAATCCAGCCCTCCAACAGTTTGAGGGACTGTGACCTGGCTCTCTGTTTAAAAAGTTTGAGGACCCCTGGGTTAGACTTTTATGCCGCAGGACTGAAGACCGACAGATCGTTGGTTCGAATATGGGGCGAGCACGGCTGAGCTCCCTCTGTCAGCTCTAGTTTCCCATGTGGGGACATGAGAGAAGCCTCCCACAAGGATGGCAAAACATCAAAACATCCGAGCGTCCTCTCGGCAACGTCCTTGCAGATGGCCAATTCTCTCACACCAGAAGCAACTTGCAGTTTGTCAAGTCGCTCCTGACACAAAAAAGCTACAAAAAAACCACTTTCTGGCAAAAAACAAAAAAAAGGGGGGGGACATACACACGAGGGCAGTGGAGGAAAGAAAGCGACCCAGCCAAAGCCAATCTCTCTTTCTCTCTCTCTCGCTCAGTCTCTCTCTCTCTCTTTGGCCTCTGCCGCAACATTTTCCAAAACAAGCCCGCCAAGGTCCAGAGGCTGGCTTCCCTTGCCTTCCCTCCCTGGATGAGTCTCCCCCGCACTTCTCCCGCCCCAGGTTTCGCACGCAGCCCTTCCAATGGCAGGCGAGGCAGAGGCAGAGAGAGAGAGCGGCAGCCAGGCGCCTGCCCTGCAGCACATTTCAGCACCGCGGACAGCAGCCTCCCCTTTCGCAGTCCGGGGAGGGAAGGAGGGCAGCCTCCCCCCACTCGCCACCTTCTGGGCCGGGTCGCCCCCTTTACCTCCTGGGCCAAGGTCACCCCAGCTCGGCAGCTCACCTCCTTCCCTGGCTGCCTTCTCTCGCTTTCAGCCGGCGGCGGGCGGCAAGAAGCAAGGCCCGCGCATCACAATAACAAGGCGGCTGCTCTCCCCCCGCCTCTCTCGGATGAGCGACTCCTCGGAAGCCTTGCAGAAGCGGAGGCAACCGCGGCAACCGCGGCAGCAGCAGCGGCAGCGCCTCCTCCTCCTCCCCCTGCTGCTGCTGCTCGTCCTCCGTCCTCCTCCGCCTTCAACGGAGGAGCGAGGCCGCCCGTCACGTGGGGAAGCGGCACGTCAAAGGTGCCGCCGCCGCCGCCGCCACTGCGAAAAACTCTCTCTCTCTCTCTCCCTCCTTCCCTCCCTTCTGGCTGGGCTGGGCTCGGTGGCGATAACCTTGGCTGCGATTCGCGCCAAACGAGGAGGACTCCAGAGGAGAAAGAGGGAAGGGAGGAGGGAGGGAGACGTGTCAGACGGCCTCCCGCTCTCGTTCTAGCACAGGGACGCGCCGAGGGAGGGAAAGAGGGACCCCGGCATCATGCAGAAACCCAAAGGACTCTTCCGCCCAAGCCCTGGCCGAATCAAAACCCTCGCGGCAGAGAGGCGGACTAGGGCCAAGTTGGGATTGCGATTCTACGCCTTCAAAGTTGCTTCTGCCTTTGGCAAGACTTTTCATATAGGATCCTAACGTTGGGAGAGAACCCCGGGGTCATACAGTCCAAGCCTCTGCCATGCAAGAATACACAAAGCACCCCTGACAGATGGCCATCCAACCTCGGCTTAACCCCACCCCCCACCCCCACTCCCAAGAGAAGGAGACTCTGCCACACTCTGAAGATGCAGCATATTCCACTGGTCACATTTGGAAAATTCTCCATCCTAGAACACATCACTAACACAGCCAGCACAACAACAACAACAAAACTTTATATATATATATATATATATATATATATATATATATATATATATCGCCCTGTCTCCCCAAGGGGACTCAGAGCGGTTTCCAAGTAACATCATCAATACACACAGAATGAACAACATAAACATATAATTAACAAAGCAATATAAGCATAAAAATCACAATAGCATGTATATATTTAAAATAATCCTGCCTGTTCAGGGCAATTTAAAAAGACCAGACCGAGGCTAGTGCAATTTCTAGAGGGCCCAGGGTATTAAGTGCAATGCTATAGCAGGAAACAACAATAATAGGTATATCTATGACAATAATAGATATCTACATAAAAACTCCAACCATCACCCAAGTCAACAAAGAAGCACCATTAAAGCCTTGGCAGACCGTGCAAAAAGAATCTGCGAACCCACCTCCTCCAAGATGAACTGAACCACCTCAACTGGGCTCTCCAGGCCAATGGAGATACTCCACCTCAGACATCAGAAGAGCTGCAAGACCAAGAACAAGCCACGAGAGTAAAGATGAAGATCCACCCAGAGGAAAAGTGTTCTTGCCATACATCAAGGGAACCACTGACCGCATAGGAAAACTGATGAGGAAACACAACATACAAACCACCTACAGACCCACCAAGAAAATCCAACAAATGATACGTTCAGCAAAAGACAAGAGGGATCCTCTCACCTCTGCAGGAGTCTACCGTATACCATGCAGCTGTGGACAAGTCTACATAGGGACCACCAAACACAGCATTGCCCAAACACGAATCAAAGAACATGAAAGGCACTGCAGACTACTTCAACCAAAGAAGTCAGCCATAGCAGAGCACCTGATGAACCAACCTGGGCACATCATATTATTTGAGAACACAGAAATGCTGGACCACTCTCACAACCACCATGTCCGACTACGTGACTTGGATAAGTGGTAGAAAAAGATCTGGCCATATTCAACAATATCTGAGGCTGAGCTAGAACTAGTCATTCACAAAGGCTTGTTTAAACCACCAGGTCTTCAAGCTCTTATGAAAGGAGGGAAGGGATGGGGCCTGTTGGATCTCATCACATGACATCACATGACACTTCTGGCAGGGTTCTGTGCTGGCTGTGTTGTGAAGTGTTCTGAACATGGGAGACTACCTGTGTTCAGATGAAAAATCATGAGGACAGCATGGGAGTACATCTTAAGGTATGCTTTCTGGAGTGTGATGGGCAAGCAGGTGATGTGGGAGATTATATATTAGTAGGTAAAAGTAAAGGTCTTCCCCTGACATTAAGTCCAGTCGTGTCTGACTCTGGGGTGTGGTGCTCATCTCCATTTCTAAGCTGAAGAGCCGGCGTTGTCCGTAGACACCTCCAACATCATGTGGCCGGCATGACTGCATGGAGCGCCATTACCTTCCCGCTGAGCGGTACCTATTGATCTACTCACATTTGCATGTTTTCGAACTGCTAGGTTAGCAGAAGCTGGGGCTAACAGTGGAAGCTCACGCCACTCCCCAGATTCGAACCTGCGACCTTTCGGTCAACAAGCGGTTTAACCCACTGCGCCACCAGTATAATGTATTATATTAATATATATATATACTAGCTGTGCCCTGCCACGCGTTGCTGTGGCCTATAGTAAAACTTATCAAAGTTGAGGTAGATATCTGGACTATTATGAAAGAGAGGTCCCTACCTATTCCTTCCCCCTTTTCCTCCCCCTTTCTCTCCTTTCTTCCTTCTCTACCTCTTTCTTTCTTTCACTACTTGGTTTCATCCTTCTCTCTTTCCTTCATTCCCTCCCCCTTTCTTCCTTTGCCTTTCTTCCCTCCCTGTTTGCTTCCTTCTTTCACTTTTTATTTCCTTTTATTTTACCACCATAATAACAATAACAATAATGCAATGCATTGCCTCTGGGACCTGACACCTCTCCCATTCCTCCAGGGTCTCATAGGAACAATAGCATAATAATAATAATAATAATAATAATAATAAAATAACAACCTTTACCCGCCACGTGTTGCTGTGGCCAAACTTCCCTCTTTCTCTCCTTCTTTCCCTCCTTCCTTCCTTCCTTCCCTCCCAGCTTTCCTTCTCCTCTTCCTTCTCTATCTCTTTCCTTCCTTCCCCCTTTTTCTTTCTCTTCTGGTCTATTTTCTTCCTTCTCTCTTTCCTTCTTTCCTTCCCTCCCTCTTTCTCTCTTTCCTTCCTTCCCCCTTTTTCTTTACCTCCCTTTCTCTTTCTTCCTTCTTTCCTTCCTTCCTGTCTTTCCTAGATTTTGACAGGGCAGGAAGGGGCGGGGTGGGGTTTGGAGGTGGCGTGAAGTAAAAGGAGGTAAGATTGGGGGGGAGTGATGGAGCGTGGGGTTGTGTGTGTGTGTGCGGCGGCGGGGGGAGGGGTGGGGCGTGGTGTGTGTGTGCGGCGCCGGGGGGAGTGATGGAGCGTGGGGTTGCGTGTGTGTGTGCGGCGGCGGGGGGAGTGGGGTTGCGTGTGTGCGTGCGGCGGCGGGGGGAGTGATGGAGCGTGGGGTTGCGTGTGTGTGTGCGGCGGCGGGGGGAGTGGGGTTGCGTGTGTGCGTGCAGCAGCGGGGGGAGTGATGGAGTGTGGGGTTGCGTGTGTGTGTGCGGCGGCGGGGGGAGTGATGGAGTGTGGGGTTGTGTGTGTGTGTGCGGCAGGGGGTGTGTGTGTGCGGGAAGCGGCGCGGCGGGGCTTGGAGTGGGCATGGTTTCCGCAGAGGGAACGTTGACCGGAAGGCCATGTGCGCGCGCCAGGGAACTTGCGGCTGGGCGCCAATGCGCATGCTCAGTTGTTTTGCCGTTTTGTGAGTGTGTTGTTGTGTTGTTTTTCATTTTGAGTAGATATGTTTGTACCTTGTGGGTTGTGTTATGGGCATGGGAATTTTGGTTAAGTTTCGTTGGGTTTTTTTGAGTTTTGTTTTTTGCCGTTTTGAGTGTGTTGTTGTGTTGTTTTTCATTTTGAGTAGATATGTTTGTACCTTGTGGGTTGTGTTATGAGCATGGGAATTTTGGTTAAGTTTTGTTGGGGTTTTTTTGAGTTTTGTTCTTTTGCCATTTTGTGAGTGTGTTGTTGTGTTGTTTTTCATTTTGAGTAGATATGTTTGTACCTTGTGGGTTGTGTTATGGGCACGGGAATTTTGGTTAAGTTTCGTTGGGGGATTTTTGAGTTTTGTTGTTTTGCCGTTTTGTGAGTGTGTTGTTGTGTTGTTTTTCATTTTGAGTAGATATGTTTGTACCTTGTGGGTTGTGTTATGGGCATGGGAATTTTGGTTAAGTTTCGTTGGGGGGTTTTTGAGTTTTGTTTCTCCGTTGGATGCCCCTAACAAATTTATATATATAGATATATATATATTATAAGTTCTGTTGATTCTCTGGATCTGCTTTAGTGGGGGCTAAAAACTGGATTTAGATTTGACAGAAAGGCCAGAATTGTCCCAAAGTCCTTTGTCTTATGAATATGAAGATATTAAAATGACAATTGCGCTGCAGCTCTCGAGTTAAAAGATGTGTTCTAGGGAGGTGAACTGCCATTGGGGACAGCAAGATTCCCAATGCAGTATGGATAGGTACATAGGTTTAACACGTACCTAATATCCTGATTTTTCACTCATGGAAGGAACTCTGAGGTACTTGTGAGTAGAGGGGCAGGGCATTATCTTTAGGGTCATGTTGGTCATAGCTCTCTCTTGCAAGACAAGTCAGACTGTCTCCATCTTTATTGAGCTTCCAATGGCAGTCCAAACTGTATTATTTTCTCAGGCATTTGACTTCTGAAATCATTTCAAGCTTACTCTTAACAGAAAAAGAGATTTAAAGATGGGCTCAAAACCAACCTTTAAAACTGTGGCATAGCCACAGAGAATTGGGAAGCCCTGGCACTTGAGTGCTCTAGCTGGAGGTCAGCTGTGGCCAGCAGTGCTTTAGAATTCGAAGAGGCACGAATGGAAGCAAAAGAGAGAAATGTGCCAAGAGGAAGGCGCATCAAGCCACCTGGAAACCGATGCCATCACTATGGGAGAACATGCAGGTCAAGAATAGGGCTATACATACCCACCACCAGGACACCGAACTTGGAGGACAATCTTACTCAGACAACAAGGGATCGCCTAAGTGAAGTGAGTCTTAACAAACACTTTGCTTCTGTTTTACTGTTCTTAAATGCCAGCTTTGTTGTGCATCATTTTGAAGGACCTGGTGAGAAGAAAAATGCTTTATCAATATATATTTTAACAAGACATTAAAATATGAGGAAGGAATTCTACCTTGTGCTATCAGAGATAGCTATATTTTGGGAATCATGGAGAGAGGGAGAAAGCATTCTATTGGCTGGAGAGAAAGAGTTTAAGAGGTGGAATTTTTTGAAGAGGAGAGAGATACATTTGCGGATTTTTTTTCTGTTACAGCAATTGATTGGACAAAAGGGAAAATCAGGCAGGAGAATTATGGGAAAGGATGCCATTTCATAGAATCATTCATACAGTTGGAAGAGGAAGGAAGGAAGGAAGGAAGGAGATACCAGTGTGTTGCCCTTGCCAGCGC